CCATCTGGGAGGGGCAGCGGGTGTCCTCGGAGCCCGGCCACTGCAGTGCCTGCTGGCAGATGGAGCGTGATGGGGACGCCACCACAGCCCTCATCCAGGGTAAGCCGGGGGCTGCCAGGGGTCCCTGCCCTTCTGGTCGGCTCTGCGGGGGCGGTGTACCAGGGGATGGGCGCCCCTCCTGCACCCACATCCAGCGCTCACAGCCTGGCTGCCCCAGGACCAAGCCCTGCCCCAAGCCCCCTTCCCACCCTCCCTGCTTGCTCTGGGTACAGCATGGGGAAGGTGGGCTGGTGCTCTGGGGCAGGCGCAGGGCAGCCAGGGGCTCTCCCCAGCCAGAGCCCCGAACCCCTGGCCCCTCCTCTGCTCTCCGTTGCAGATGGCATCGAACCTTTCCAGCGGTACAACATCTCAGTGTACCCCCTCTACAAGGAGGCCGTAGGGATGCCCATCCACACCGCAGCCTACTCCAGGCAGAAGGGTACGTGTGCTCCCAGCAGCCGCCCTCGGGGCCCTGGGGGGCTCATCCCACACCACCAAGCCTTTGCCTTTCAAAAAGGAGAGCCAGCCTTCCCGCTGCGTACCCCTAATTCAGGGGCTGTGCAGAAGAGCTCAGCCCACTGGGCTGGATCTTGGCTCATCTCTGAAGGTGCACTCAGCTGGACCGAGTCCCAGTGGGCACAGCGTGACACCCACACCTTGGGAGTGGGACTCACCGCTCAGTGCGCCCCCCGCTGCCAGTCCCCCACCCCAAAGCAGCGGGTCTGCACAGCACCATCACTTGTCCTGCTCCATTTCAGCACCGTCCTACGCCCCAAAGCTCCACCTGAAGAGCATCAGCAAGTCTGACGCCGAGCTGTGCTGGGACCCGGTGCCAGTTGAGATGCAGAACGGCTTTATCACCAGCTACACCATCTTCTGGGCCAACAGCACCGCGGAAGTGTCCAGTGAGTCCGGCCCTGCCTTCCATCCCGCCTCAATGTGTTGGGTGGGAATGACAGCAGACTCTGTGCCCCCCTCAGAGAGGGTTGGGGGGGACCCAGCAGAGGCCCAAGGGGCAGTGCAGGTTAGGGGCACCCACAGAGCAGCCCCACCGCACCAACAGCCCCCACATTTCCCAGGCGCCGTTGTGAATCCCTCTCTCAGCTCCTTTGTCATCCGGGAGCTGAAGCCATCGACCCTGTACAAAGTGCACATCATGGCATCCACGGTCGCCGGCGGCACCAACAGCACCAGCCTGACCCTGGTGACCATGGTGCTAGGTGAGGGGGGGGGACAGATGGGAGGGGACCCGCCAGGCCCTGGGTCCTGCCCTGGCCTCGTGGCACAGTGCCGCTGGAGGTGCCCCACCGCAGTTCCCCCTGTGACCCTCTCCCCTGCCCACTTTCCAGATGACATTGAAATCCAGTTCCTCTTCCTGACCCTGGGGCTGGTCTTTGTCCTGCTCATACTTTTGCTCATCTGCGTCCAAAAGAACGGGCGGTGAGTACTGAGAGCCACTGTGGGCTGCACCAGCCCTGCACCGGGCTAGGCTGCCCTGGGAGTCCCTGTCCCCAGTGGCTATGGTGGCCCTGGCCACGGCCTGGCTGCTGGAGGGATGCGATGGATGTGGGGAACAGCAGCATCCCGCTGTGAGCTCTGTGGGAGCCAGGCCAGCCCCAAGGCTGTCGG